TGTTCATGAAGCCCTGGGTTCCACTGCTAGTAATGCATGAAAACAAAATTGGGTATGGTGGCACAAACCTGTAATCCTAGCACTCAGGAAGTAGAGGCAAGAGGATCAAAAGACCAAGATCATGCTTGGCTACAATGACTTCAAATTCAGTCTGGATTATGTAAGACCCTGTCTCAGAAATAAATAAATAAAATAAAACATAGAAAAGGATGTATCATAAATGATGGAGAAGATGATATCCAAGAAAAGAGGTAAGGAACCGAGGAATCTGCAGTATATAACTGCAAAATATCCATGAAAAGATAAGCCATGGCATATAAGTTTAGAGAAAAAAAAAAGATTTGATTTAAAGACTTGAGAGCGTTCTATAACTAAGGGAACACTGGAGCAATAGAATGAGAAAGAAGTACAGCAGAGTCTCAAGGTGACTTCAAAAAATGGAAAAGATATGATTAATAGATGATAAAACTTCACTATTCAATAGTATCATAGAAAACAGAGTTTCAAAAGGTTATAGATTATGGATTATAAGCAGGGCTGTTTCCCCTCACAAGTACTAACACAGGATAAAAACATTAATTAGATGGGTGGACAGAAAATAGGGTATTATGGTTGTTATAAATGTTCTATCTTATGTTTTCAATGACAAAATAGAAATATTATTATTCTTTGTACAAAGATAAAGCTTTCTAAATGTGAATCAGTTCTCAGCAATGCCATTTAGAATATGTCCTCTTCTGGGAGCTACATTATAAGCATAACATGGCAAAAGCTAATTATCGACCATAGATTATAGTTGCATAAGTAGCATGGTAAAAATAGTAAGTCCTAACAGGGAAGTTTTAAGGAATATTCCAAAGTATTTAAAACTGCCACAGAGCTGCTCTTCTTTGAGAAACCTAGACCTATGTTTTGGGGTGTATCTTAGCTTCCTTCCAGATTGTCACTGTCCCTTAACCCTTGTGCTTAAAATCTATGTTAATAACATTACTGTAAAAAATTCTTCCAACTCAGCTTCAATAAATAAAAAAATGTGATGTTTCCAAAAACCTGGGAGATAGAAACAGGAGCATCAAGAGTTCATGGCAGCTTCAACTACAGACAAATGTGAAATGTGAGGCCAGCCTGGACTATATCAGACCTGTGTCAAAAAAAGAAACAAAGAGACTATATCATAGGATTCATACCATGGGATATAACCAAGCCTACATAAAGAAACGTGTTGTGAGTTCACAAGAATGCTCTCACCCATTCAGGAAACATACAGCCTGAATCTAATACCTGAGTCAGACATCCACATCTATGTTAGTACTAAAACATTTTGGATGACAACACAGAAAAGAATGTTTCTGGTCAGTTTGGCTCCTAAAATCTCTCAGATCTGACTAGTAGAAATGACACTAAGGGAAATTAAGTCCTTTTTTCCAATGTTGCTGATGAACTGAAAGTTCGTGTTTGGAATAAGTAAGCATATTGAGCAAAAAAAAAATGTTCTTTATATCCCCCAAAGAAATGAACTAATTAGTAATTCCCAAGAATAGGTACAATTTTTTTGTGGGGCTTCATATAATTTGGATGCTTTCTTTAAGAAATAAGAAATCAATACACCAGGTATGGTAGCAATCAAGCATTTGGAAGGGAAAGCAGGGAGATTAGAAGCTCAAAGCCATTCTAGATACACAGGGATTTCAAGTCCAGCCTATGTTACATGAGTCCCTGTCTCAATCCAGCACCATCACAAAACAAAAGAAGAAAGCAAAATTGTAACATGACTCAGTATGAAGCTGGTAATTTACTTAGAATGAGATCATAAGGGACCTGAAGTCTTAAGGTTCATCAGTTACATGCTAAATACACTTTTGTTGATGACTAAATATTAACAGTCAGATGTGAAAAAGGAGAAAGAATAAGCAATTAGACAAAAGAAAAACAAAAGACAAGGCTTGGGATACAGCTCACTTGATAGAGTGCTTGCCTACCACACATAAAACCCTGGGGTTGATCCTCAGCATTCATAAAGCAGGCATGCTATCCCACATCTGACTTGGTATTTGGATGCTAGAAAATCAGAAATCCAAGTTCATCCTTGGCTACATATTAAGTTGGATGCCATTCTGAGATACATGAGACATTGTCTCATAAAAATTTTAAAAAGTCAGGCTGGAGAGAGAGTTCAGCTGCTAATGGCTAGACTCACCACCAAATATCAAAAAAAATATAAAAAGACAATGCTTTCTTTAAGGAACACTGGAGACAAACAGGACAAGAATAAAATCCCAGCAAAACAGCAAATGGTGGTATGGTGTTAATCAATTTATACTACATATTATCATATTTATATTTTAGTGCCAACAACAACATTGCTTCTACAGTACTTGCCTAGAAGGACCAGGTTTTTGGAAACACCAATCCACTAACCTGTAGGCACTCAACAAGTGTTTGTTGAAGGAAGGAATGAAAGAAGGAAAGAATGATAAATGCTCCCTTTTCTAATTCTTCACCATGATCTGCTTCCTTCTGATGCATAGCACGAATGCATACTATTGCTGCAACAGTTCATACCAATCTGGTGATTAAGATTGTTTTCCCTGAAGAGGATGAGTCCAAAGCTACCTACATCTAAAATATATAAGCATGTCTATAGTCTACTCAAAGGGGACATATATTAAAATGGATAATTTGGAGCCACCCTATTTACTGCCTCTACTGTCTTTCTCCCTCTAAGTTAGGTCTTGCAGGTGTATCTCTGAAATTATTAGCACCTGAGTGAAAGGAGACATTTCAGTTTGGGCTTCTACCTAGAGCCAAATCATAATTCCTACAATTTTCCAATATGATAATTTAAGTGGCAATTTAATATACAAATATTGAAGAGGTCTCCAGGAAAATAGAGAAAAAGTTTATATACCCCTTACTTGATGAGCCATCCAAGCCAGGGCCTCCAGACAAGGTGCAGGCAGTGTAGCTCTTAGTAAGGGGATACAAGGTACTCCCTGACTTTCCTTTGGGTCCTGCTTTATGAAGAGAGTCCCTTTGGGCAATAAATACTCTACACTTTTATTCAAGTTCTGAAAAAAAACACCAGGAGTAGGTTGAATCTTACAGCTCCTTTAAAAAACAAAAACAAAATTACCTTTTCCTAAAGAATTCTGCCTCCTTATTTTTTACCTACTAAAATTTTCTAAGTGATGGTGCTTTGTAGAAGAGCATAACTGAAATAATCCTACTACTACTTCAACAGTACAGACATCCATTCGCTGATATTCTGTTCAGAAGAAAGGATGTGAAATCAGGGAGGCCAAGCAACCACCTCAAGAATTGCAAGTAAAGGTCTTAAATGGAAGAAAACAGGTCTGCAGCTTCCCAGGGAGGCGATTAGACCTCAGAAGAGTTACTGAAACTCTCAAACCACAGATTCTTGGTTTTGTAAAATAGCAGATGTGTTGCCCACCCATAAGACTGTTGAGGACAGAGGAAACTCATGTAATGTGCTAAATGTAATTGCATAGCAAAAGCTAATTAATCATTAGTATTTAATAGTAGAAGTCAAATTATTTTGCCTCCTCCACCACTGCATACCACCAGCAAAGAAATCAACCCCCATTCCCATCTGGCACGATCGGGGCCCTGCCATAGAAACACTCACATGCAGGAGAAAGACCCTGCTAAACACAAGAACACTAAGTCCCCTACCCCTGGTCAGCCAGGGCCCCTTAAGCTACTGTTAAAGATCCAAACTGACCTGAGATGCCGCCTCCAATCACGACTACGTCGAACATGTGGCCTGTGATATTAGGCTTCTCCAGACTCGTCATGGTTTGGGTGAGATTCTTCGGAGACTTGGGCTTAAAAGGGGGGACCGCCCAGGGTGGAACAGACCCTTGTACCTCCCCCTGCCTGGTGTCCGGGGGCGGAGCCGAACTTTCTACCCATACCCAGGGGGAGCCCGGCCCTGAGGGCGGAGCGGGCCCTTGTGCAAGGGGAGCGCTCAGGGGCGGAGCTGATTCTTGTTGAGATACCCAGGGAGAGCCCTGCACACCGGGCAGGGATGGCTCTTGTAAAGGCACTGGAGGGGCATGGGAAGGAGGAGGTCCTTGCGGCAAACCTCGGGGGTTATACCGTGGGTGTGTTGGGGATGTAGGTACTGGGCTATCGAGCACCCGAGGTCTTTGTACCGGCAGCCCGGAATGGAAATATGGTGCTGAAGGTGATGATGTGGATAACCAGGCAGAAACGGACAGATTGTGCATGGGGGCGTCTTCTATCGACACCCGTGGGGTATTTTCTTGAGGTTCAGGTAGTTCCAACGAAGACACGGACGTGTCACTGTTTGTAGGGTATTCTAGTGGCAATCCCCAGGGGTAGTTAGTCACTGCGGGTAAAGTGGGCTCATCTACCGACCCTCGGGGAGTGCTTATCACTGAGGGAGGGATAGACCCTAGTTCTGACTCTAGGGAAGTGCCAGGCCTAGAAATCATAGAAGACACTTGCCCAGAAATCACCGAGGACCTTTGCTCCAAAGAATGGGATGAATCCGGGATGGATTCTATTACAGATAGGTGCTGGGAGACAGAGCTAAGAATGGAGTAGTCCGAGGGAGGTATGGGGATCTGACCGCTCTGGCTGTGGGCATTTAATTCCGAGGAAGAAGACTTTGAGATGGGGTCATTCCTCTGGCCAGAATCATCATCGAGCTGAGAGAGGTTGGTGGAAATAATGGAACCAACCAGCTCCTGGGTAGACCCGCTCATCGGAGGTGAAGAATGGGGTTGAGAGGCGGTCTGCCACTGAGAGTGGGAGGACTCGTAAGAGCTGCTAGAGATGCTGTCTAGTTGGGGCAGCCCCACAGGGGTCTGGGAAGAGGCAATCCCGGTTTCGGGGGCCCATTCTACCTCACGCCCCCTGCGGCCGCGGCCGCGACCGCGGCCACGCATGCCGCCGCCTGAGGGAAAGGCGGCCTCATTTCCCGACATAATTCTCACAATGGCGGGACGCAGCGAATGGCTGCCTTGAACCCTCCCCTCAGCCCTCCCCTCAACAGCGCTCGGCTTTCCGCGCCCAGCAGTTACCAGTCGCCACCCGGAGGCCCAACCCAAGCGTCCGACCCACTTGGAGGCGGGGAGATGAAGCGGCGGCGCGGCGCGGCTCCGCCTCTCCCGCCAACGCGCGATACTTGTACGCGGTCCTCAGGGGCCGGACGATACCACCGCGAACGGAGCGGGGGGGGGCCGTCGGGGAGCGGAGTCCGCGCGCGCGGAGGCGTCGATTATTGGCCTGCCGCTTTCATGGTTTCTTTTGAGCTAAAGATGTCTGAGCCGAGAGCGGGCTCAGAAAACATAATACGTAAAGGAGAAAAGCCCAAAGGACGAAGTGACGGAACTCTGCCTAGCTCAGTTTGGTCTAGTCCTCTGGTGACGTCACGAGGCGGGCTTTCGGCGCAGCCTCGAACTTTCCTTGGACGGGGTGGGGGAGGGGAGGGCGGCTGCCGGCAAACTGCCTGTCTAAAGGAGCGCGTATTCCTTTTCGGTGGTGTGTTTTCAAGCGAACGTACCTCACCAGAGTCTAAACAGATATGCGAGGAAAATAACTACCACAAATTAAGTGGTACCGAAATTAAAAAAATGAAAGCTAAAAGATGCCTAAGGTGCAAATTAAAAAAAGAAAGAAAGAAAATGTGTGGGGCAATGTAGAGCACAGCAGCCTACGCTTGTAATCCAAGCGTTCTGAGAGGGCTGCTCTGCGATGTGAGTTCAGGCCCTAGGGGCTGGGGCTGGAGGCATGGCTAAGGAGTGAGGGGAGTGGTAGGGAGGCAGGAGAGAATCGAATACTATTCTTCCACAAACACTTCATTATTTATTATCTTTCTAATCATTTTTATTTGTTGACAAGATTTCATACATGTATATAACGTATCTGGATCATATCCACCCCTCCCACTACCTGAGACACCTCTACTATTTATTTAATGTTTTTCTTTTAAAGATGGAGTGTCACTGTACTGATCAAACTGGCCTCAAACTCCTGAGTTCAAGTGATCCTCCTTCCCTTGGCCTCTCTATTAGGGAGGCAAAGCTTCTGGAATTATTTATGTCCATTCATGGGCAGTTCTCTGAGTTTCCATATGTCTACACAGTGAAACACTAAATTAAAATTTTATTGCGTTTATTTTGTGTGTGGGTACATGTGTACCTTGGCCCTCATGTGGAGATCACGGGGAACTTTCTGGAATCTGTTCTCTCCTACCACATTTGGGTCCCAGGGATTTTACTTAGGTCATCAAGTTTGGGAGCAAATGCCTTTACCCACTGAGCCATCTCACTGGCCCCAAAACACCACATTTTAAAAATAAAGGACTCTAATTGGAGTAGTTTTCGGGATACTATCCAATGATAAAATCAAGCTGTGAATATAAACAGCATACTTTTATGCATGTATATTTATATCCTAATGTAAAAAAAAATTTACTTTTCAAGAACTATAAGAAGGATAGACAAATGGACGAGGATGGGATACAAAGGGCAGAGATGAAATATTGCTCTCCTGATTTTTTTTAAAATAGTTCAGCTCTTATAAAGACATCTTCATGGATTTTATGAAATCCTCCAATTCATAAATAGACCTGTATTGGTTGTAAGTCAGTTGAAAGAGATATACAGCAAAAACTACCACTTGCCACCAAGCATTTAGTGCTTTCTTTCCACAAGAATTCTGACAGTAAATCACAAAACAGTCCAAACAACTAAATTGTAGCTATTCTCTCTATTCTTCCAAGTGATAGTTTAGGTCTAAGGGAACAGGATTCACACCAGACAAGTAGGGGATCTAGTGTAGGTTTGCAGCCTTATACCTTAGAGAAGCAAGTATGTTTTATAATAATAATCCCATAGCCTTACTTTCCAGGGCCTGTCACACGAGAAACCAGATTAGCAGTCACCACACTGAAAGAAACCAAAAGTTATGCTTGTATCAATAACTTATAGCTTTTTAGAGTGTCTATCAGTTCAGATACTACTTACCAACCAGAAGGCACATTTTCTGTAAGTAATGTCACCAAATAAAATCGAAATAATTTGAATATTAAAAAGAATTGTAATGGGATCAGAGAGCTAGCTCTCTGTAATTAAAAGAACTTAGTGCCAAGCTTGGCAACCTGAGTTCAATCCCCAGGACACAAATGGTAGAGGAAAGAAGGAACTCCTACAAATTGTCCTCTGACCTTCACATGTGCACTGTGGTATAGGTATGCCCCACCACACATAAGTAAGCAAATGTAATTTAAAAAAAAACAATTGTGAAGCTTGTATAGTGGCATATACCTATAATCCCAGCACTCAGGAGGCTGAAGCAGGAGAATTGTGAATATGACATTAACCTAAACTATATAATGAGTTCTCGAGTTCTAGTCCAGCATGGGCTATAGTGTGAGACCTTATTTCATAACAAAACAAAAAATGATCTTTCGAAGCCGGCACTCCGTCAGGGACCAGCCAAGTTCAGCTTGAGCACCAAGATCGTGAAGTCCAATGGTGAGAAGCCGGACAAGTTCGAGTCTGGCATCTCCCAGGCGCTGCTCGAGCTGGAGATGAACTCCGATCTCAAGGCGCAGCTGTGGGAACTGGCTGGAAAGCTATCATAATTTTTGTACCAGTTCCCCAGCTGAAGTCTTTTCAGAAAATCCAAGTCTGGCTGGTTTGTGAATTGGAGAAAAAGTTCAGTGGGAAGCACGTGGTCTACATTGCTCAGAGGAGGATTCTGCCCAAGCCAACTCGGAAAAGCCGCATGAAAAATAAGCAGAAGCGCCCCAGAAGCCACAGCCTCACTGCAGTGCACGATGCCATCCTCGAGGACTTGGTCTTCCCAAGTGAGATTGTGGGGAAGAGGATCCGCGTGAAACTGGATGGCAGCCGGCTCATAAAGGTTCATTTAGACAAAGCCCAGCAGAACAACGTGGAGCACAAGGTTGAAACTTTTTCTGGTGTGTATAAGAAGCTCCCAGGCAAAGATGTTAATTTTGAATTCCCGGAGTTTCAGTTGTGAAGAAAATGACTGAA